AAGGGAATAGGTCGTCATTGTTATAACAGGTTTGCAATAGTGATAACTAAAAGCAGGGAGGTGCAAAAGCAAACGTTTTCTCAAACCACAGTTTCAAAATAATACTAAAATGTTCATTAATCTATTTATTATAGTGCCTGTATGGTCCACAAAATAATCAATATTAACTCGTTCCCAAATGTCAAAATTACAGATTTTAGTAGTCAGTCGTGCTGGTTTCTGAAGATCCACGCATTTTTCTACGGTTTGACTACGATCACCTGGGTTTGCCTTTACAGCACAGTTGAAGACTGGGATATACCCATTTTTTATCAGACTCGCCTTACATTTGCATGAATCATTATGTGTTTGCTGAACTGTAGGTCTCCTGATCCTAGGAGCTGGGGTTCACTTTGAAAATACGCTTGTTAAGGAAGCAACTGCAGGCAAAAACAAGCCCTCTAATGTTCAGAGTCAAAACAATGGTGAGGTAGAACACCACGCTTGTGCATTGGGTCCAGCGTTTGAACTCAGACAGTACTTAATTTTGGGACAGGTTCGCAAGAGTGAGAAGAGGGCAGGTTCAAGGCCGGCTGCGCCCACTCTCCTTGAAATGTATCGTCATCTTGTCAGCGGTGATGTGTTCTGTTTATTTCCTTTCGTACAACGGAAGGTTTTGGTGACACCAGTTAACCGCAACTGTGACATAAGCTTGTTGATAGACCCTGATCGTACTGGTCTCTGCTGTGCCCGGGCTACTAGTTTACCTTGAATGAGAGTGAGTTTCGCAAACGATTTTCACGTCAGCCAATAGTTGAACCGTCGGGAGCTCAGCAGCAACTGGCTCACTTGCCAGCGTTGGTTAGCGTGGGCATACACCAGATTCAGCAACATATTACATAACCTTTAAAGAGGGTTAGTATAAGGAAAGCTCACCTTCCAGTCTTAAGCATCGTAAGTTATCCTTTCTCCGAATAGACGTCTAGTTCCACACTACGTTTTAGCCTTCTCTTTAACAACCATCGTAAACTAACAACC